TAAAAAATATTTAGAAGTATGAAGATCGCGTCCCAAACGTATGGCGTGAAAAATAACGATTTTTTAAATAGTATACCCTGTACTTCGTTCAATGTGTGGATTCGATAAATATTTTATGTTAGATATGGTATCTAAATTTGATACTTTCTGAATTAAACGACCAAATTTAGCAATTACTTGAATATTTCCTGCGTCCAAAAACTATTCGATATTCCTTTTATTGGGCCTTTTTTATAACAGTCCAAACTTTCCGATTACCAACTTTAATGTTCAACAAATTTCATTTGAAATATTGCTTGGTATATATGAGATTATTTTACGAAAATCGAATAGTTTGGACTAGTATAATAAATAGCTAGTATAACGAATGGAGAATTTTTCTCAATTAAGCGCAAATATTGACAATGTCATTTCTTAAATCATTGAGAAAATATTAATTTTCCAACGTGATGAAAATGCAAAATTTTATCGGGACATGCGGTAAATAGGCCGTCAAGCTATTAATACGTTATTATCTGCAGCAAACTTCATATTTGGTGTTCACTATTTGAAAGCTATTGTATATCTTTGCATAGATAAATTTGTTCTAGTTCATTACTCAATCAATTTGGTCCTCCACTACTCTACGGATTTTCCACTTATTCATTTCGCTTAATTGCTTTATTTCAGTTAAAAATTAATCAATACTTTCATTGATTGATTAAATTATTGATACCTGCAAAACTTATTATTTTTTTAACTACAGCCCCGTAAAAGTATTGCTATTTTCTTATTCGCAAGTAGCGCTATTTTCGTTTGCTTAATACTTTCTTATTTGTCGCATTAAGTGCAAAGAATCAATCTCCAAATTAGAGTCTTACAAGTTATTGTATATTAATAGTATTAAAGAACATTTTTCTGATTTCATTTATAAAATTTATGTGCAAAAACAAAATTCAGAATGAAAATCCACAAATTATTTATGTTGGAAGAGTATTTATAAAATATACTCTTACTTAATATGCTTTGTGGGCAGGAACTATGAATACTTTCGTGTGCTTTATTTTCTCTAATAGATGTGAACTAGTTAGTGGTTTCTAACCTAAGATAAAAGATTGTTTCCTGATAAATGCTAAAGTTCTTCACATTCGTTAGGCGAGTATCTTGAAGAATAGAAAATTATTCAATGTCAGACAACACGGTTACCATATGAGAATTTGGATAAAAAATCTGAAATTTTTACTGAACTGTGTTTGTAGTAAAATTGTCACTTCGACGCCTATGGTTCTGACACGCAATAAATCCGTAGCTTCATCAAACTTCCAAACAATGATGATGAACTTTTCGAAAGTTTCATATTGGCGCTCCGCGGGGTTTATATGAAACTTCTGAAAGTATTTATAGTAGGTAGGTATGTGTGCCTCACATTAAGTTGTTTATTTTCTTTCGAAATATCCACTCTACCGGACGTGATTTAACAAGTGTCTATAAACGTTAGCAAATACACTTTGCTTTCCTCGAAGTGAGTTTAACTTTTACGTATTTCGAAATTTCCAGAATAAACTCTTTTCCCTCGCATTCGGCGCGTTTTAGAAAATTTCTTTAATTTGTTTGGTGCAATAAATTTGAAATGAGATTCTTAATCTTAAAAACCCTCACAGCTGCGAAGGCACGAAATTCTTTCAGCACGGTATTAAATTTGTGCAGGTATTGTCGCTTCAACATTATAAGGAAGTAGTAACAACGGATTACTGAATCGGCAATAACCACGATTACCCATATAGGTCAATATAAACCTTCAATATCCTGCGAGCAAAGTGATTTCTGCTATATTGTGTTAAAAATATCAGGAATTTAAATCAGCAAATTGTATTACAATTTCTGTTTGCCTGTTAGTCGGGGTTGTGATTTTAACTCCCGATCCTCTGCCCTTTGGAAGATTGGGTGCAAAAAACGGCGTTATTGTGGACAAGAAAAAGGTTCGTAGTATACTACACGTTGCTATAAAAACCATTAGGTTAATTCCATTAGAAAATGCTCGCTCTAATCTACTAATAGATAAAAGAGCATTAAGGAAATGGGATTCGTTTACAAGGAGAAAGATAGTTGCTTCAGTTTGATTGTCGATTGCTCGTTCCTCGTCGGATGTCGGTTTACACAATTAAATCGGAATTTTGTGGTGAGGGTTTATCAAATACTCTAACCGTTCCCTTGCAATTGCAATCCACCGTAGATTGAACCAAATCGATAACAATAAATTAATACTAATCAAACATCCACAGAGTTTTTCTAATTATTCAGGAACGAGTTTTTAAATTAAAATAAATATAGCCAGTGTGTCTAAAACTCCTTCCGGAGGCATAAGCTAATCCGTCTTTATTTACGTAGAAACTTTTTAATCCGATTATTGGGCTTTTAGCATTTATTACTTTATAATTATTCCCGACGAAAATATTTAATAAACTATAGAAAATTTCATTTCAAAGATTAGAAAGTCCTGTTCTTATTTTTTTAATCATGTCCGAATTTCGCTTTTTAGTTTGCAAAAATTAGAATTTAAAAAAACGCACACCCATCTTCTAAATCTTAGACTGAAAATATGGTAGCTATCTCGGTAGTTTCTATTGTTATTAAATATTAGTCTCAAATTCGCAGGCATTTGTTTTTTTTTTTTTTAATTTCAAGAAAGGAGTTGTTTGTCATATTATACCAGTAGTAATAGCAGTACCATACAAAAACTAACATTTCGACCTAAATTGAGCCGTGCTAAATGATTTCTAATCTAATTTATTCAACACAAGAAGTTCGAAATTTCTTACCACCGTACTTGCTTGATTACCCAATGTTCGATACTGTATATATATTAAACAAAAATTGTTAATCAATATCTAACATAATTGGAAATAAATCGATCGAAATTGTTTGTAAAACTTTAACTTATTCAAAAGTTAGGTGTCGTTACTTCGCTTCGGAGTGTTCAATTACTTTGTTTGAAACTTTAAAAAGTAGTTAATAATGCATCATTTTTATTATTTTCGTGCATGTTTGTTTTGGATAAAATTAATAGTGCCTAACCCATAATTATCACTCGGAACTAGAAGAAATATTAAATAATTTCCTACAGAGGAAGCCTTCCTATAGTTGCGTGCTAGACTTATATATATTAAGCACCATATAAACCGAATGCATTAGCTACACATTTGCAAACTGTTTATAGGTCAGTGATATTTTCCTTATATGCGAAAAATTAGGTTCTTGGACTCAAATTTTCATTAATGAATTTGCGAATGGAAAAATTAATAACATAAAATAAATGTAACGCAGCGATAGCATTTTTTAAAATAATTTGTTGAAAAATAAACAAATTGTAGTATAAGAGTTTTTATTTATTTTGGTCTATTTAACATGGTAATGAAAGTATGTTCAAAAAATGCACCTGTTTTAAACTAAAAAATGTAGGGGTAGAATTTCTTTTAAACAATATTTCGCCACAGACAAAAATGATATTTTAACCATTATAAAAACCGATCACACAAAAATAAATATAGTAAATAATATTTTATACGCAAATAAAATTTTGGTACAAATTTTAAGTCAAAAAAGTCAAATAACCTGACGATATATTTTCTCAACTTCGTATCTTGAAAAGTTTATTTAAAAGGTTTGTGGTGTCTAAATCGGTACGAGTTCGCTGAAACTTCAGTCGTAAGGGCGCTTTAATTTTCTTTATCTTGCTTTCACCTGAATAATTGCCACACGCACGTTGTCTTTCACTCTCGACGGGAATTTATTTTAAGAGATCGTATCTTTTTCCCATCTACAATCACGAATTCGGGCAAAAAGTCAGAAGGTTTATTCGTCACACGATATGTCGTTTTTACGTAGGGAGAGGGTAGCCATTAACTTTTTTTTTCGCTATATGAAAGTGGTTGCTTCGACTGCCTTAGGAAATGCTAGGAATAACACGTGCTTTCATTGGTTCACATTTCTACAACTTTTATGGCAACTCACCGCATTTCAAAACCATAAAAAGAAACATTTCTTGATATTATCTGTAATAGCGTAAATATAATATTGAAGTTTAGTATTTTTCCAGCGTAAAAGTCAAACAACTGGTTTGTTTACTAAAAAGCTTGAAGTTCACCAAATTATTGGGCGCTTGGTTTTAAGTTAATAGTAACATAACTTTAATTTTCTGTTTGCTAATGATTTTCCACATTTTATTTTTCGCTAAACTGTATAAAGTGCTCCTTAAATAGGCAATCGACGACTTAAGAGCGGTAATTAAAAACCGAATAACAAAAATAAGACGAGAATAAACAAAATGATCAGAAGAATCATCATATAAACATCAATTTACATATCATATATTTTATAATGTAGATGTATTCCATTGCAAAACCTGGAGTGTTATTTTGCTGTTCTTTGATACGCAATCAATTGAAAATTAAATTCATGCAATTATATCTTATTTGGTAATTACAATTACAGTATTACAAGTATTGCAGCACCATAATTATAACCAATGGTTGATATAATATGTTGTACAACAGATTCGTTGTATACTACTACTACATTTTAAATTATGTTTGTATTCTACCTATAATAACTCCCCTAAACGCTATGCTATAATGGCTCTAAGAGCTCCTCTAAAACTCAACATCTTGAAACTCTCCTTATGAAAGTATACATCTAAAAGATCCTCTAATTTTTTTTTAAACAAATGAGAAATTTAAGAAGTTAACGTTTCGCTTTTCATTATTCTTTCACAAATGATCAAAGATCAGCTGCCAGGTTTGTTATAGAAATCTTTCGGGAAAACCAAAACGGTTATTTCAAAAAAGAACTTCGAAAATAATTTACATTCATTTGCTTATCTGCGTGTTTAGTGTATATTTTGTCGAATAAATTATGTATTACCAATAATTCTGTATTTTATTTATTTTTTTATTTTGGTGTCTGAAATAGATAAAAGAAAGACTAAGTGACTGGATTTTGGAACACGGGAAGAAAATAAAAAGTAAAAATAGATTTTGATTTTATTCATTGTTATTAGTTATAAAACGTATTTCGTACAATGGTAACACTTAAAATTTTTAACCCATTTTGATCCTATTGTTCTCGGCGAACTGAACTTCCAACAATGGGTTTTATAAAGTGTCTATAAACAATAGTGACATTTCATGCCTGGAAAGGGTTACCCTCCAACGTATAATAAAGCAATTAGGGACAATGCTTTCATGTTTTTCTGGTTCATTTCTGTGCTTAATTATTATTGTCTCATCCACGTCACGTTGTAGTTTTTTGAAAGGCACCAAATTGAGATAAATTACCATCGTACTCCTTATGAACCAATTCCGTATCGTCGAAGGAAAGTTAAAAGAATAAACAGAGTATCCAAAAATATTTTTTTATATTAAGAGTGGTTAGCAAAGTCCGTATCTGTTTTTTTTTATTTTATTTTCTCCATTCTCTCTCAATTTACGCTTTTTTCCGGTGTCAAGGACGATCGACTATCAGTTCCATAAATCTGTGGACCCCATTTTTTTGTCGGCTGGAAGAACTCAAATCCAGTCTAAAATGATAGTTATTTAAAAGTTGGTTCTTAATATATAATATTAACTTTTGACAGCGTACATATTCTCTTTTCCATAAGACGTATACTGCGAATATAAAAAAAGGGACTAACGTGGTTAGTCCAATTATCAAACCAATTACGTCAGCCCAAATGGGAAACTCGTATCCTTCATATGACGCGGGTGAATAATGCACCATTTGGAATATAAAAATACCCTAAAATGCTTACACTTAGACTGTAGAATATTCGATTTTTGAAACGTACAACTAAAGTTAAAGGAGTTATAATCGTCCAGCAAATCCACCAATACCATTTGCCGATTTGTCGGATATTGATCGTCATATCTCGTACGTTATCGATAAATCGGAAGCATCCGTAACACCACGAACATGCGACTACCTCGGCGAAACCGATAAGCATTATTGCCCAAGATGCTGTGTTCCATTCCAACAAGGTGAATATGTAAACACCACCGGAAAAGCACATCGGAATGGCCAGTAATAGGCACGTCACGCAGATCGACAGTGTCACGTACGATTCGTATCTTCTAAGGCCGTTCCATCTGGAGAAAAACCATTTTGTTTCGCTAATCCCATTCCATTAGAACACTTACTTATCCATAATGCAACAACTTATTGCTTCGACACCGGCAAACTGCGTACCTAACCCCAAGATAAATAGCATGCCGAAAAAAATCACCGACCAAAGCGTTGAAGCAGGAAGAAGCAGTATAGCCTCCGGATACGCAATGAAGGCTAATCCGGGACCATCGCGGGCGACTTCTTCGACGGGAACGCCCATTTTGAACGCAAGGAATCCCAGCATCGAAAATATCGCAAATCCAGCATATACGGAGGTGAAAGCGTTAGCGAACGAAACGATCAAAGCATCATGGAAACAATTGTTGCTAAATTTGTTGTACGAAGCCAAAGTGATCAACGAGCCACATCCTAAAAACACAATTAAAAACATTTTTCCGCTGTAATTTACTGATCGGACTTACCGATCCCGAACGAATAAAATGTTTGAGACGATGCTGCAGCCCATACATCGACTTCGAGTAATTTTTTCCAGTCGGGCAACAAGAATAACTTTATTCCGTCTACGGCGCCTTCTAAAATCGCACCCTGTATGACCAGAGCGGTCAAAATGACATACGGAAACGGTACAGTGAAGTAGACTGCTTTTCCAGAAGTTTTCACTCCTTTTAGGACACACATGTAGCACACCGCCCAGGAAAATATCAGACAGCCGAATAGTTCCCAATGCATTTTTCCGAAATTTTCCCACGTGGCGTCGCCTATGCCTAATACGTATTCTCTAAAACACAGTAGACAATGTATTTATACAAAATTAATACTGTTGTCAAATCTAATCTACTTTATTATAAACGGTTAGAAGCAAGTTTCAACTACATCATGTAGTTTAGGTATTGTCTTCGATAGTCAGCTTCTTTTTATATCTTTAACCTGATATTTATATTTTTATTCGGTAGCACTTTAGCTTTTCAGGAAATAAAAAACTGTTATGCGAGTCCTTAGTCCAAATTTTGTCAGTCTGACGTAGGAGTCCAATATCATTCAAACTCCATGTCGATACGTAGAACTTAATTTTCTGCACGTCTTGTTCACAAAATAATCTATTAAAAAAAGTTAATTTTTCAAAGAACCTTCCTCAGACTACTGTAATACTGTTTACAAAACTTCTGGAGTCCTCTTGCCTCGGTTTTTGTTGAGTGGCTAAGCGATGGTTAGCGAAACGTTAGCAGGTTCGACTCAAAAAAAGTCGACCCAGGAGGAATCCAAAAGTTTTGTAAAAAGTAAAAAAAAGTTCAAAGGGAACATACAAACAAAGGGCGATTGCTCTACATGCACCTTAAATTCGTGCCCGGTGGCAGGGGGAAGGGAGAGGGCGGTTTAATTACTTCACGGATGACCGAATCCCAAACAGACGAGAAGGTGTTTGATGATTGCAATACATTCCAGAATTTTTCTTATGTTCTGTTTAGGAATGATGTTCAAAAACTACTGGTGTTGTTATCTGTCGAAGTCTGACCGATCTCTGATGTTCTGGTAGTCTGGTTGATATAAGGTAGTAATGTAATCTTTAATCGATCGTAGATCTCGGAAGATTTTGGTAGAAAATCTAGTTTTCATGGTATGTTTTATCAGAATTTTTGATATTGGAAAATGAAAAATTAATCGCGGTGTCATTTTGTACAAGTGGTTCTGGTGGTGTGGTGTACTGCTTTTATATTGTTTGAGAGGGGCGGAGCTAAATGAGGGGCATAAACACCGTCTCGGATGACTAATTACCATATTGGTGATAGGTAGAGACCTGAGTTGCGGTTAAGATTGTTAGGTTGCTTATAGATTTGATTAGATTGATTACATGCTGATGAGTTATTTGTCTTAGCCTTAAGGCTCTTTCATGTTCTTTGAGCCTAGTTGATATTTTTCGACCGATTTCTCCAATGCATTCTTTGCCGCAGATACATGAAATGCTGTAAACTCCTGGCATCTCAAATGGAATTTTGTCTTTGACTGATCGAAGATGTTGACAGATTTTTGGGCAAGTGATAAATCTGGTTTTGACGTTATATTTCTTTAGAACTTTTGATATGTGGTCAGTGATGTTTTGAATATTAGGAAGAACAACAGTGGCAAGTGTGGGATTACTTTCGGTTTCATTGTTATTGGAAGGTTCTGGTGAAGTGTATTTTGTGATGGAACGCTTAATACCTTTAATGTGGAAATTATTAGAGAGAAGAGCAGAGGTAAGGTGTTTTAATTCTAGATACGGCTCTGTAAACAAGAGAGTTGACAACCGATGATTTTTGGGCCAGATGGTGATGAGACATTGCATTAAGGTATCGGTCTGTGTGCGTAGGTTTTCTGTAAACACAATGACCCAATGTTAGGTCTGATTTCTTATTGATAAGAATATCTAAGAATGGGAGCTTGTTATTAGTTTCTATTTGAATGGTAAAACGTATGTTAGGGTGTATAGAGTTTTCAATAGCAATGAAGCCCTATGAACTCCACATCCTAAGAAGTCAATAATAATAATAAAATTAATACTTTATTTTCAACAATAAAACAACAAGTATCAGCACATTAAACACATCTAATACTTGTACAGAGACGAAAATGAAAATTAAAAATATTTTAAGCATTTACGCTAGACACTCTCCAAACTAGAAGTATGATTTTCGTAGAGAGGTGACGTGGTTTACGTGGTTTACGTCTTATATAAGTTGTGTAAACAAGTTTCAGGGAAGAGATGTTAGACAAACCTCGACAGTTTCTAACGCAATAGCGCAGTGCGCTTGTCCTAATTTTTGGTATGTGCTCAATAGAAGTAGTAATGGTGTCAAACACATCAAATAAGACACAGCAACATTAAGTTGCAGAGAGTCCACAGAGCACAACTGATTTACCAAGAGCATAGCGATTTGCAATTCCTTCCAATCATCCTGTTTCGTAACGTCCAGGAATATAGATATTAATAATTGATATAAATATTAAGAAAATTATTGCTCCTAAATGAAGAATGGAACTGTTGTTTTTTAGATATCCATAACTTACAATTGTGTACTAGATTTCCTAAAAAAAAATAAGAATTTGTTGGATTAAAAAAAAAGTAAGTATTGCTTTCCAGCTAGTTCTTTTAGTGGCAGATACGTCTTTAAGTTAGATTAGGTTTGCAAAATCGATTTTGTTCTTTATTTATAAAAGACAAAAATATAACATAAATAAGTTTAAATTTAGTTTTATTTGTGTTTACTAATGGAGGGATTGAATTCAAAGTCCATCGTGTGGCACAGGTTTATACCTAATTTGTTGTTGTTGTTTTTTTCATTACTAAAAAAATAAAAAAACCTGTTTATGTAAGATTCCCGTTAGATTAAGTTATAAGTTAAAATCAATAGTCAAACAAGATTTCTTAATACCGATCGTGAAAAGTGAGCAGCGATTTACATTTAACGATCGGTTTTGTTGATTCCGACATTATCGCGTTTATTATTTGTTCGGTATTACTGAACGAGTCTAATATAAATGCCTTACTTCTCCTCGTTTGGTTTTAGCGCCAATATACTCTTTACCAGTGCTACCGTTTTATTGTTTTATGGACTTATTACACCCGTATCTTCGCAATTATAACCAACCTGAAATATTCAGCAGTAGCCAACGTCCTATTAAATAGGCTGTTTATGAATACAGCCTCTCCATTACTGTTTCGACAGTAGGTGCGATTAAATGCGCCTTCCAAGTCATATAATTGGCACAATTCGTCGCTGTCGAAACAAATGCTTTTGTAGTACGTTTCGTGGTCTAAACATTTTGCTTCTTCAGATGCGCTATAACAGCCTAAAAAATTATAGCTTCACAGCTTTATTTCATTTGGTAAATTAATTAATTTCTGCCAATGCGAATCCGTTTGTTTTATATTATCAATTTTTCGTTCCAGAGTATAATTTCTTTACCTTCGCTGTTGAAGTCATGGTCGCAACGTCCATATCCCAAATCAAGGGAAAACGAGGCGAAAAAATAAAATATTGTCCAGGCAACGATGACCATGTAGTAGACGCAAATTAAAAACACCACCACGAGGCAACAATATCCCAATCCGGAAAATATGGGCGCTATATAACTAAAAGCCAAATCAGGCCCAAGGCCCGAATACTGTCCAATTATGAGCTCCAAGAAGAACACGGGAGTGCCCATAACAATTAGCATTATGAAATAGGCCAACAGGAATGCCCCTAAAACAGGAAAAGGAAATTAAAAGCTAACAGATTCGCTTAATGGCGCTTTGGTTCGCGGGTTTATTTTTAATACCTCCTCCATTTTGGTAACACAGATATGGGAAACGCCAGACGTTTCCCAGACCTATGGCGTAATTTAAACAGGACAGGACAAATTCTACAGGATTTCCCCAACTCGATCTCTCCGCTTCGCTGTCTCGTTGACCGGAACCGTTCTAAGAAAAAAACTAACATTTGAATCTTTACAATTTGAAAACGGTCCCTTATTTAATCCTAAAATTTAACAGCATAATTAGGGTATACATATATGTTTGTGGAGTAGTCATTGTCCCGTATGAACTTGATGGTGGTTTACACCATTCGCTATTCTTTCGAGGAAAGCAAAGCAAAGTTTGAAACTTGTATATGCGAACTGCATTGCCGAGATTTCTGCACCCGGAGCTTGGAATTCCCTTTTCACTAAAGTAACACGTCAAGAAATCGTATGGGGTAGTTTGTTTTCCGCGTAACTTCGGTACCCTAGGGATTACAAAGGTATTATACGAATAGGAGCTACGCAAAAAAAAAGGCACGCGGTGTTACAACTTTCCGTACCAGCGCAGCAAATCAAATTGCCTTTTAACCGTTAACGTTAACATTCGTTTAATTAATTGCTCTCGTCTTGGTCGAGAATGTCGTAAAACAAACGTAAAATAAACCGTCACGTTTAGTATGCATATAAGGGGCGCTTCATCTCGTTTACGAAATGTTTTTGTAATACGACGGAGATTGGTTCTCTGTATTTTCATTAAGACTGGATAATTCAAGGTAGATTTTAAGTAGTCGAGCAGTAATCACTCCAATAATATTCTAAAATATCGTTTATTTGAAAAATCGCAGCCCTTTATGATTTCCTAATTAATTTGTCGAATGAAATGTCAAAATTATATACTTCGACGACTGATGGTCGTGTATAACATCATTACCGTTTCGTTTAATCAGCAAAAAGCTTCGAAGTGTTGATGTTTTTGAAACCGCCGTAAAGATTATTTTAGGATTCCTTTTAAATTAGTCACAACAGTTGTGCGCCTAGTACTACGTTCTAAGTTCTAAGAAAAAAAGGCTAAAAAATGGTTCGTTTCTAATTTTTTTCCTAGTCAGGAAACAATCACGTCAATTTTTCGGTGGGTTGGTAAAACAAAAGTGCAAAATCAAGTAACGACAAAAAGCGTGATGGTATGTTTAAAAGTGCTTATGTCTCTTATTTACCCCCTGCGTGTATGAATAATTATCAACCAAATGATAGGAAACCAAGCTGAAAACATTTTGTTACCACTAGTGCAGTAAATGGTTGTACGTTTTTTTGTAAACCGGTGATCATAAGATCATAACTCACCATCGATTTAAATAATTATTTTATTGCAGCAAGATCCGAGTGTCATAAAGGAATGCTTATTCTACGACACCAATTTAACCAATACTAAGCAAACAATTATATCCGCGAAATAGGTGGTAGCGACGACATCATTACCTAATCGTTACTGGTATCAAGTGTCATAAATTGACTTGGCGACATACGTTCTGATAACACACCTTTTTGCTTTAATCAATCGTCAACCTAGTCATTATTTCGCCCTCATTTGGTTTCTGCCCATGAATTTCCTCAATTTATATCAACGCAAAGTATCCGAATAAGAGACGAACTTGACATCGTAAAAGTGCTGAGCGCAAAATTGAAATAGAAAATAAGGAATACCCTTGTAGAATAACGTTCTGAATATTTTGAACGCATGCCAAATTGCAACTGAAATGGGTTTACGTTACCGTGCGTTCTACGTTTACCTTGAAACGTTGTGTTATATTTACTATAATATGCAACGGGGAACAAAAATTTTTGAACCCGATATAACCCCCTTGGCATTTTATGTTAACGTTGAAGCACACACTTGTCCGTAAACTACCGGTAGTTGAATCGCTGAAATCCACTCGTTTCGCAAATTTAATAATAATAAAAACGTTTTATTGTCTGCAGGAATACATCGTATTGCAGGAACTAAATTCAAGTAGAAATAATAGCAGCGCACGATCTAGATATGATATATATGTACAATTTTAATATTTTTTATCATCATTTCACGATTTAAGAAAGATAATAATTTTATTTGGGATGGATTTACCAGTTTCTAAAACCGGTTTAAACAAACAGCGTTCCAATTCCCATTGTCTCTGCAACGTAAAAATAGCAGATATATTGACATTCAAAAATATTGTAATTTCTACGTACGGACTCGTAAATGTGCAGCAAAATGAATTTTATTTTATTTATACTTTAAGTAGTTTAAATATTTTGTGGGTTACACGGTCGGGGAGCTTTTGTCAGGGAATTTTAATTACGAGACTTTGTTTACGCGAAATAGCTTAAGACCATGATTTCCTGCGATCTCTTGTCGCTTGTTAAAAATAAAAACTCGGCTTAAAAACATCTTTAAATGGGCAGCAAGAAAATTTCATTGTAAACAAACAATATTTGAACGTTATTTTCAATTATAAGCATCTCTTCTTCGTAAATCCTCTGATAATATTAGACATTTTTATGAAGGACAACTTGGAGATTTAGCCTTAGAAAGTATCAAATTCATAGAATTTTGTTTATATTTATTTTTTATTTTCAATTTCAGTACACGCGTAACTGTTGAAAATTTATTTTCGCCATTACAGATCTTTAATTATTAATAAGATCAAGTTGTTTAATACTTACAACATCATTTGAATTCATATGTTGTTAATTCGTTTATACACACACTGACTCAGTCTAGTTTCTATATTTCAGGTTGTGCGACCGAAATCTTGCAGGTAGAACTGATGCATTGACATTAATGACATTAGAACCACATATAATCATCCGCACCGATGTAATTTATTAACTGATATGAGAGTCCGGTATGCTTGGGAAGTTCTAATAAAAATTTGTTTCTATAGTAAATTAAAAGCTTTTCCTTTTTATTGCTGGGATTAATGTGATCGATAGGAGAAAGTTTTATGATTTTTTTTTAATTTAATCTTATAAATCGTCGTATAGTATCGAGATGAAAGATGTTGAAACATTATACCATTTTCCGAACGAACACTGTTATAACTGATTGTATAGTCTTGTGGGAAGTGAATTCTCAATGTGTGGCTAGGATCTGGAGAACTCGGATGATAAAGTAGCAAAATTAATTCCAAGCACTTACCCTTATCCACTTAATAGAAAAAAAATAATTAGAAAACAGGCTTTAAGTGGGTCCAAGCCGCTTGCGATTTTATTGGGATTATTTGTAACAAATTGCCTTGAATTCCGAGATAATGGTTTCTCATAAAAACGTAAAAACGGCGGGTCTCGGGTAGATCCTAAACATTGTAAACATCTGGAAAGAAAAATAGACAGCCAGACACTCTCGTTGATTAGTAAAGGAAGTATTGGAGTTGCTGCAAATCAATCACCAAAAATTCTATCCTATTGGCTTTTTCACACAGTTGTTATTGATATTATTAATAACTGTAACATTTAAGATTACGTTTTATTGTATAAGCGTCTACTTATATACTTTTGAATAATATTAAACATACAAAATTAAAAGCTTTTCAATTTAGGTTAACGAGAATCATTTTAATATTATCTAAAATATGTTATATAATAAAACACACTTAAAATATCACTGAAAAAACATCATAGGAGAATAGAAATGAAAATAAATACAATAATTTTTAAAATATGTGCTTATTCTGTGAATTCTTACAGTGCCCTGTATTATAAAGTTTTGGGCCCAAATGACTAACGTATGTATTCTTTCTACATATGTTAAGTTGCATTACGTGATGTTGGTTTAACCGTTTTTAATGTCCAGTGTTGTATTACCATTAGTTTTTCAGTGCCGTTATCATTATTATCATTATCGCTCTTCTTTGTATATTGTTTGGTTGTTCGTGTCGATAAATCTAACGATTTTGTTGCAAATGATCCTTGGTTTAAAAATAACGAATTTTTACAAAAACTGGTCCCGATCGTTTGCGGAACAGAAGCGTTGGGGACAAAATTGTAGATGGAACACGTAAATGTCAAAGGCGAAGAATTCCGTTACGATCTAATTCAGTCCCCTGAAAACTTTTGTCTCAATCTTTTAAATATCGTTGAATGGGGAAAAATACGGAATTTTTTGGAACTTTTTATCGTCGGGAAAACAAATCGTGTTCGCTTTAAAATGTGATCGACCACAGATCTTTTGTTCCCAACTTAACAAGATACGATATATTTTTGTTCACGAAGCGGCCTGTAGGTTTTGACTTCGCAATTTCGTTTTTTCGAATTTAATGAAGTTTGATTCCTCTCTCAACTTTGCAAAGTGTAAAATTAATTTTAATTTGGGACCGAGAATTATTAAATGCTTTATATAGTACGTTGTCTGGCTAGAATGATGTTGCGGTAAATATTTTATTCCGATTGATTGGAGTGATATAATTTTAGCTTCGCAAAACGTTTCAGATTAACCATCATTAAATTTAATTGTGTAATATCTCAACAACTATTATATTGTAAGAAATATTGTTGATATATATAAATTTAGTAGAGAATTTGAGGAAAATGTTTTTCTAATGAAATCGCATCACAATATTTTAATTGTGTAACTAAAATTAAAAAATATATACATACTCAGTTTTCGAATAGAAAAATCGTATATGTACTTTATTATTTATTGTTATTTTTGAATGCTGATAGCCAATTACTTTCGTTTTTCATTAAATTAGTAAAAAAAAAAAATTAATTCCAGTGGCACTCGTTCCATTTCTTTTAAAAATATTTGCTAGCAACGTTTTATTTAAATCTAGTCGTGGGCGTTCACCGCGCAAAATAACATCTGCTGGTTTTTGACTTTTCGATTTTTTTTGTATCAAAATAAATTTATGGTCGGACGTATGATGAAAGCACTGAAAATGTAAAACACTTACTCAACAACAAGACCATCACATTGACGTTGAATATTGTTAAATCTCCCAACGATAGAAATATGGGAACATAAAATTGTATTCTACCATCTTCCAATTAACAATAATGAAGGTTAATGAGCAATTAATTAACAGAAATATAACTTACAATTTCCCAAACTTCTTAGTTCCTAATCATTTAAATTGGTTTAGGGGACAAATAAGAATGATATAATATTTCAGGTTGACTTCTTGGGTTTAAGTGTTCAATGATCAGATATTCTTCGCTACCTTGAAAATTGAGACATAATGAAACAGTTACTTAAGTAACAATAACAATGAAGATTGTGTGGAAAATATTTTCAAAAAGTATATTTCTTTTCTCAGTTGGTCGTCGTTATTGATTATGAGGATTTTCTATATCCTATATCCAGTCGAGTTCAATAGATTTTTATTTCCGCAATAACAGTGATTCTTTAAGTAGATTGTGAGGATATAAACGAAATCTCCGGGGGGCTTTAATAGCATATCGACGATTTTACGGGTAAAAATAAATGAAATGAAATGGGCGAATTTTACTTCAATATTTGACTATGAGTAGCAGTTAATTTATACGTGGTACCCTGGCAAAATTGATAAACCGAAGCTATTACTAAATCAAATAAGCCATCATGTTTGTTAGAGGCAAGGCAGATCCATCAATTAAACTAATAGAGCGGACTGAGCTACATCTTGGAAATTATGTAAATAGATGAAGTGTTAAATCCTTGGACGCCGCTTCAACATGATTTCTCGCTTCTCCTCCATGTTTGAGGTAAATTTTAATATTTCAATAGCCCTTAACCCTTGTGCCAACGGAGTTAAAACAAATTGGCAACGTAGTTAAACAAGTTGCAAATTATCGGGGATTTTATGCAGACCCAATTTTTGCTTAGAAGTCAGTTTTAATTTATTTGGCCAAGGATATTTTACGCTGTAACATTTTTAGCAGTGGTCAGCATTATTAAAAGAAAATCCTCAATTAATAATAGAACAATAAAATTGTATAAAAATATGTATATGTATAAAAATGTACGTAGATATACACTGATCTTACACCACAAAAAATTCCAATTAAATATTATGTTTACATTACACCACTACAAACATAATTTAGGAGCCAAGTCTTAAATATACCGTTTTTCGAAAACGAGTACAAAATTTTAATTGTCAATATTTTCTCAATAATTGGCCGTCTACAATTAATTTTTAAATTTCTCCCCTGACTTTTTATTTATCCATTCTAACAAGTTAATTTTAAATTATTTTGATTGTTCGTTGATTTTACAGCAAGAGGCCACCTTGCTTCTGTAGTGTTTTTTTTTAAGTAGTACAACTTACCTAATATAAGTTTTAGTTAATCCTTGGCATGCCATTTTTCGGTTAATGGCAACCATCGACTAAATTGTATGGCAAGCTAACTAAATAATTATTTGTTTTAAAGCAAATGGAATATTTAACACAAAACTCCTACTAGGTGGCAAGTATCAAAACATCGAAACTGTTGGCGTGAAACGTATTTACTCGCATGCTTTCTTTG